CCTAACTGTCAAAAGTTTAGAAGAAAGAAAAAAACAACTGGGTCATTTTTTTTGTTTGTTGTTGTTGTTTTTTAATCCATAAGAGTTAACTGGCAAGGGGGATTAATCATGGAAAAGCTTCTCTAGAACTATTTTTAATATAGGCTCTAAAAACCTGTAACAACTTGAATGCTGCAGCTCAAGTGACATCTCTCAGTGGTTAATTTGCAGGCCCATCTTACTGACGAAAATGGAAAAACATTTCAGCAGTTTGCCCAGGCTGAGAAGCAGGATGATACTGGCCTTTTTCCCCCACCTCGTTCCCTGAAATTGAGGCATGTGGTAGAAAGAAGTGAGTCACCCAGGAGAATTGTTCCTAAAGGTAGAGAGCAACAGCCTTTTCTGTAGTGCTCCTGAAGACAAATGGAAATGCTTCAAAAGTACCAGGAGAACGGCCCTCCCTCATTACTTATGTCAAAGATCTTACTTACATTTGCATCCCAGAGTGCTAAATACATAGCTCTATACTAGTGAATACACTTGAATTTTGGGAGGCTGGACCTGAATCAGAAGATAGAATATGCATTCCATCTGGGCTTATTTGAAAAGGAGGTCTCTGCAGTGATTTCTTTATATTATTATTAGTTTTCAGGCAATTAAGGATGGAGTGCTTAAAAAAGATGCACAACCAGCTGCAAAGAAACCCATCCTGCCTACTCACATTTCTTGGCTAGGGCTAGAGCCAGTCTTGAAACAATGCAGAAAAGCCTCTGGCCTCACTTGAATCTGAGTCCTACCTGCAGGAATGTCCCTTCTAATAAGCTGCCTGCTTTGCTGGCCTGCTCCCTTCTTCTGAAGCAGCCAGCGTGAGCTGTGCTCAGGCAGCAGTCCCCTAACAGCCCAACACACCATTCATTCTCACATAAGAGGAAAGGGAAACAGGAAAAGCCAACTGAAAGCTCCACTAACCCTTCCTTCTAGAAGCAGCGATAGTGTCTCCTTAGCTCCTCTCGCTCTGCTATTCCTCCCTTCCTCAGTCTCTCAATCCCCAAAACGCTTTGTCTGCAAAGGCAGAGAAGAGGCACTGGGTAGTTGCACCCTGGTGCACCTTGTAATGGGAGAGGAAGACTACAGCAGTCATGCCCTCCCTGAGCATGGGACGGGTGAACAAAAAGAAGAGATGAGGCTGGAGCAAGGGAAAGCTGCTGTTACGGGTAAGCACAGAGGCGGCCCTGGGTAGATGTAAAGGCTGGACAGCAAGACTTCGTGGAGGTGGAATAGCAGCACCCAAGCAGACGTGTTGGTAAAGTAACAAAGTGCTAAATGTAGCAGGACAGGTGATTTTAGAAGACTGAGCAATACTAATTATCACACACATATAATTAAAACAATGCCCCCAAAAAAGTGTAGACAAGTCTAAGTTATGATCATGAATCAAAAACGGGCCAACAGAAAAAACAGAGAGCAGGAACAAACAATCAGTTTTCATTATGGCAACATTCAAGTACCCCAAAGATAACATGATACACTCAGCACTGTTTAGTACAACAACGTTCTGGAAGAGAGTGCAAGCAGTGAAGTAGCAAAATCTGAAAGTAACTTAGTAGTTATTTCATCCTGCCAATACGAAAAAGTATGAGGAATTTCAAAGGCAGCTAACTAGCCTCATGGCTCATAACATTCAATGCTCATATATACAAACTAATGCACACTGAAGGTTAAAGCCTGAACTGTTCACCTACCTTGCAGTGGTCTAAATTCAGTGACTCAGGAAAGGGGGGGAGCTGCCATTGGTAATGAGCAGCTCAAACATGACTTTAATCTGTGCTGAAAATGCTGGTTTGGCTATGGAAAGGAAAAGAGAGCGGTATGCAAAATAATAAATGATTTGTTATTTTTACGATTGATTATTTATAATAGCATAATAATCAGCGGCCATACCTTGCTTAGGATAACAAAAGCAGGACTAGCCAACCTATCCTTCACAATAGATATTGCAAAATTAGAGAAGGTTCACATACTGCAAGTGGGAATGACTGAGAGTATGGAAGCACTTCCCCAGAGAAGGTATTTAAAAGGCAAGCAGTGTTTTGAAAAGAGGTGAGTAAAAGGGCACAAGGCAAATATCAAGTGTAAAGAATAATACAAAGCGGAAAAGAAGTACTCCTGAACCATATAATTTTTATACCTTAAGAACAAGGGTTGCTGAATAAAATTGAAAATCGATAAAAGGAAATACTTGTTCGTGTGATGAGTAGTTAGCCTGTGGGCTCCCCTGCCACACAGCATTGCTCAAGCCAAGAATCTAACAAGATTAAAAGAGCTGCGTATTTGCAGGAATAATGCCCAAAATAAAATATTTAGTATCAGCGCACCTTTTGACCTGTGATATAAACTCTCATGCTTCAGTGCACATTCGAAGCACTGACATTTAGCATTAGGAGGAGATCTTCACGCGATCATCCCACTCTCCCCTGACAGACTCAGTACAGGCCCTCTCCAGGTACAGGACACTGGAAGTTATGGGCACTGTTTGGGGTTTGGCACCTTCTTTGTAAAAGATTTGCAATCGGGAACGTTTTCTCTCTCTCTTTTGGGCACTGCTGAGCTGCCCTTTCTTGTTCTACTTTTCTTTTTATTAATTTTGCTCCTCAGTAGGCTGCTAAAGAGAGCTGGGGAGAAGTAAGAATGGGAAAGAGCATTCCGCATTTGTCCATTCAGATGTGGAATAAATATAGTCAAGCTGAGTTTTAAAAGGAAAATTTTTAGGCAGAAACATCTAATTTATACTGAAGGATCTATAGAACAGATCCACTTTTTGGCACAGCAAATATTTAATTATTTTCCCCCTGTTGCCAAAGCTTGAGTCAGGAAGAAAGGCATAGTTAACAAAGCACAGCGAGCAAGGGTGACAGTTTTCCTGGCCAAAGGAAAGCTTTACATGTCCTCAAAGCTTTTCCTAGAAGCATTTTCTGTTGATCTGTTTCTGGGTTTAGGTTAGTTATTATATAATTCAGGTTTGCTCCTGCTGCAAATTTTCCAGAATTTAATGGCCAAATCTCAACATAGTTCACAATTTGATTTGAAAAATATATGGCCCGACAGCTGCGATTCTACTAAGAATCCTTCGTGGCATTCTTGTAACTTTTTAGGGTTCTATGGAAAGACCATTTTAGACTGTTAATCACAATTACTTATCAGCGCCTTCTCTATGAAAATTACTAAATCTATATGCAAAATAATCTTTTCTAAAAATCTGAACAGGATATTTCCTTAAAAACCAAAAGAAAGTTTAAGAAAAAGAGTAACTATAACTGAAGATCACAAAAGAGAAAAATGACATTTGGGAAGCTTTAGTTAACGAACTCAGACCACATCCAGACTAAAATAGCGACAGAACATCATGTTACATCCACAGCAATATTAAATGAGCTCTAAAGGAAATCTGTGACAGTACAGCAAAAGAGCTTTTATTATGTCTGCTGTGCTAATGTAGCTAAACTAAGCAGGCTGTAGACCTGCTGCACAAAGCTGGCCGTTTTCTGTGTTGTGAGCCTGAAATAAATATTGAGGATACATTCAATAGTGACTAATGCAAAGGTCACGATTCTCTGGCTGCAGCTATTGGCTTTGCAAACTCAGCTACTGCAGTCCTTGGGGGAACACTCTGTCTCGTGCTCTCTGCATCTTTAATGCTTTGATACAGAGTCACAGCAAACCCATCAGGGAGCTGCACATTTCAGCTCAGCCAAACACAGCTGGACATTTCTGACCACATATGCTGGAGTGAAGAGGAAGCCCTGTGACACACACCGTCGCAGGAGCCATGTGTTGCTAATGAAGTCCCACAGGGAGTTACGGCAGAAGCCACTGGTAGCAGTCAGGTACGTCTTCCCATACCTATTTTTAATTCCCACCTTGAGAACAGCAGCTGCACTGTGGAGGTCCTGCTCAAATCCTCTATCAGGATGAAATGCGACATTTCTGAACTACTTCAGTCTGCTAATACAGTGTCTTGGTTGCTTCAGCTAAACACTGAAAATAAATGCAAATACTGCACACTGTGCCAGTGAAATTCATCTGACCTCCCCTTCCCTGTGGAAGGCACCGATCACCCATCAGCACACAAACAGATGAGTCAAGTAGCAGAAGTTCCCATGACACTTGTAAGTCGAATCTTTCACAAAGTTAGCACTTAGGTTCTTAGCGAAAAGTCTTAATTAAGCTACTGATTTTCAAATCATGTATCATCCCCAGCTTCCTGCAGAGATTCCAGTATGTTTAGAGGTAAATGGTATTTTACAAAGATGATTACCTTAAGACATTGCTCCCAATGAGTGTGGTGCCCCTGTAATACATCTCAGAAGAATGTGAATTAACATTAGTGATATACACAGCCTGCAGAAGAGTTATTAGCTTGTTCTTCCTGCCGGGGCTAGTACTGCCTGAGACAAGGTAACAGAAAGATACAAGTGAAATAGTCCAAAATGCAGCGCTGATGGAAAGCTAGGGGAAAGTTTTGAGTTGGGGGCTGTGAAGGGACAGAGGTCGGGAAAACTGGAAAGGGTTCAGGAAAGAATGCAAGGACGAGGAGGAGAGGAAGGCACAGTAGGCAGCTTACTTATGAAGAGGTTGAAAAGCACTCTGTCAAGAAAAATAATGTCCCCTTTTGGCACCAATAATTACTGAGTAGCAGAAAATACTCACGCCAAGAAACACAGAGACAGCCCACAGTAGCACAGTTGAGGGCAATTCCAAGCTGCTGCAATAAACCAACAGGGAAGATGGGGAATTTGCACTGTGCCACTAGTTTGCAATGGAAACCGATATTCTCAAGTATGTATTTTCCCCTTGAGATCTGTAAACTCACTGTCTGATTCTCTGAGAAATACCACACAGAATTGTTGGAAAGAATTCTCCCTCCCATAGGGGTTTCAAACCTC